TCCATAACCGTGTTAAATATATTGTCAAAGACGTTCTTCTCAACGTGCATGACATCTAAATTGTTACGAATGAGAAGGTCTTTCCAATACGGCGACTCCCAAAATATACTCCTCTTTGTCCACTTATGGGTATCACAATACCCATTTGGCTCCCCGTAGGGTTGCTGCACGGTCGTAGGAAAACGTCGAACCCGGTTAAAAACTTGTTCACCTGTAAGTCTTGGAGGAGGGGGATCTCGTACCACTCTTCCGGCAATAAAAGACTTCTTGTCCTTTCGATATCGATGGTTCATAGGCAAAAACTTGCGGTGACAATCAAAGTAACTTGGTTTGCCGCTAAATTTGAGCCAATTGGCATCTGATTTCTCCATACATATCGGACATCCCATAAGACTGTGTGTGCTCCATCCTGAAAGCATACCATAAGCAGGGAAGTCGCTAATGGTCCAAATGATGGCAGCTTTCATGATAAACATTTGACCTCTTGAAACATCATAAGTTGGTGTCCCAATGGCCCAAAGTTCTTTCATCTCCTCGATCAGGGGTTGGAGATAGATGTCTGCCCTTTTTTTAGGATCCGAAGGACCTGGACAAATTAAAGTTAAAAAGATGAAATGACTTTTCATGCACATGTCGGGAGGAAGATTATAAGGAGTTAGCAAGACTGGCCAACATGAAAATTTCTTCCCAAACTTTCCAAAAGCAGCAAATCCGTCTGAACACAATCCCAGTCGCACATTCCGTGGCTCCATTGCAAAATGAGGATGACAACGGTCAAAGTGTCTCCAAGCTTCACAGTCGGAAGGGTGAGACATCAAACTCTCTTTGATTTCGTGCTCAACATGCCACATCATGTGTTTCGCAGTAGCATTTGAAGCATACATCCTCTTCAGGCGTGGAGCTAGAGGGAGGTAAAACAATTTAGACAATGCAGACCTTTTTCGTGGTTTTTTTCGTCTATGAGTAACATGCTTGTATCTCTCTCCACCACAGAACTTGCAGCTCTCAAGTGCCACATCATCCTTCCAGAACAACATACATCCTTCTGGGCACGCATCAATTTCTATACAAGGAAGCCCCAACTGAGTCATTAATTGTTTCATTTTGTAATATGAATCAAGAAGATTATGGTCACGCGGTAACATTCCTCCAAATGGCTGCAATAACCTAGACATGCAAGATTCAGGAAGACTGTATTCAGATTTAATGTTCATCAACTCTGTAACAGCGGATAGCTGAGAGTATCCATCACAATCAGCATACAGAGGCTGATCGGCAGCTTTTAAAACATCTTGAAATCTTTCAGCTAAGTCTTCAATATGAGGAACATGAGAATTCGGATACTCATCCGCATCAGGCTGATAAAAGGTCGGATCTTCATCCGCATCGGGTTGATACGAGGTCGAAGCTTCGGGAAGATCGTTAAATGGCTGTGGTGGGTTAAACTGAATCGTTGAAGCACCGTATACATCATATGTCATTCTTTGATCCCACGTCATTTGATCATAGTCTCCCCATCCACTCATCTCGGTAGGGACGTTACGAGATGAACCTACTGTTTGTGGTAAAAGTGATGGATCAAAAGGTTCGCCATGAGAAGTCCAATTATAATAATTGGCAACGAAACCTTTTTCATACAAATCCCACACAACTTGGTCGACATCTTTAAATTGAAGATTTTTACACTTTGTACATGGACATCTGATTTTATCGCCATTCATATAATTCTTCTGTTCTTGTGCAAATTTAATAAAATCTTCAACACCATTAAAAAATTCACTGCGTATTCCATAGTTATCGCGATGTTTTTGGTACATCCAACTTCTGTTTTGTCTATACATTATGCCTGTATATATATTATAATCAAAATATTATATAAGTACATTAATATTATTAATTAACTAAAAGCAGTACATTATTTGTGGCATTAATAATTTGAATTAACCAACTTTTCAATCATGTAGAAACGCCCACTAAAATATTATTTAGAAACATTATTAAGCTGGCCGGAATTAATAATTTACTAATATTTAATTAATAGTAATATGTTAAATAATGGCATTTATTCTAATAGTACACATTAAATAATTAACTAACATATAATACTAATTAAAGTTATTACGTTACGTTAATGACATTTATTCACAATACTAAAGTTAACTAATTTAACTTATTAATTAGTTAATTTCCATTTAACTAATATTGTTAAATATCATTAATTCACAATAATATATAATTCACACTTAACTAATAAAGTTTGAATCCTAACTTAAATCACTACAAATCCTAAATTATGCATTAACAATAATTAACTAATAAACAAATTAAACCTAATCATCATCATTGATCAATTAACTAATATTTAAATCTAACTAATATTATCAACTCAAATTCTAAACCCATTTCCTCAATGTTTTAACTTAATTAATTAGTTAATTAATTTACATTTAACTAATATTATTGTTAAATATTATCTTATTAATAATTCACAATAATAATTCACACTAAACTAAATAATAATAAAGTTTCAATCCTAGCTATATATATTATGCATCCCATTAACAATAATTAACTAATTTAACTTATTAATTAGTTAATTTCCATTTAACTAATATTGTTAAATATCATTAATTCACAATAATATATAATTCACACTTAACTAATAAAGTTTGAATCCTAACTTAAATCACTACAAATCCTAAATTATGCATTAACAATAATTAACTAATTAATAAACAAATTAAACCTAATCATCATCATTGATCAATTAACTAATATATAAATCTAACTAATACTATCAACTCAAATTCTAAACCCATTTCCTCAATGTTTTAACTTAATTAATTAGTTAATTAATTTACATTTAACTAATATTATTGTTAAATATTATCTCATTAATAATTCACACTAAACTAAATAATAATAAAGTTTCAATCCTAGCTATATTATGCATCCCATTAACAATAATTGCTAATAAATAATAATTGGTGATAATTAATAACCTAATAAACTAGCTAACTTAATTAAATCACTACAAGTCACTAATTAATCAATCTATAATAAGCTAGCTAATACTTAAATCATCACTACACATCCTAAATTATGCATTAATAACAATAATCGCTAATAAACAAACCGGCCTAATCATTGGTGATATAAACTCATTTAACTAATTAATTAAACAAACCGGCCTAATCCTAGCTATATTATGCATCACAATAACTAATTAATATTTATATTTAAATTTAATTAATTAATTAAATTACGTTAATAGTTTAATAATATATTGTTAATAATATGAAAATTAACATGACCTCACTAAATTACGTTAATAGTTTATTTAAATGAACAACTAACCTCACTAATTATTTATTAAGCTAATAATTAATTATTATTATATAAAGCAAAAAGAATCCTAACCTCACTAATTAATTATTAAGCTAATAATTAATTTATTACACAATTAAAAGAAATTAGTTAAAATGACATACCTTATCTGCATAAACTGGGAAAATGATGAACTGACGGATTACATCATTCAATCTTTAAACCGATACTACATCACTCGAATCTACGAATTTTTGAACTGATAATTGTTGTTCTTGCAATTGTAATGGACGATGGGGTTGGGTTATATAAAAAAGTTTGTCACGGATTTGTCACGGATTTATCCGTGACAACCCTTTTTTCGTACTGTATTATTAAGGGTTACCGCTGGAAAATCAATAATTGAAGTTTGTCACGGATTTGTCACGGAACAGTCCGTGACAAATGCCCGGGAGCAAAAAAAGTATTCACCGGAGTAAAAAACCGGTCGCCGGAGTAAATTCGTCACGGACCAAATCCGTGACAATACATTTTCGTGACAAATCCCAATATTCCGTGACAAAGCCCGTGACAACTTTGTCACGGCCGTAATCCGTGACAAAAATCCGTGACAAAGAGCGAGTTTTTTTGTAGTGATTGTTTGTGTACAAACAATTTGATCGACTACACAGACAATTTGATCGGCGTTTTTCTTATCTTCGAATCTTCGACCTTCGTTCTTCATATCTTCGAACTTTCTTTAACTTTTGGGCTTATTTTTATCAAGAATCAACGAAATCACAAAGGATTATTCGTATATTCTTAATAAAATTTGTGGCTTGATATTTTCCTCTTCTTTGAAATTCTTCAGAGCCTCTCGAGAGTTCTTCGGAGCTTTTCTGTAAAGTTTCTTCGTCTGAAAGTTCTCTCATCCTTTTCTCTCGACTGAGACCCCTATTTATAGGTGGGGAGAGGATGAAATATGCATTAGGGATCTCAAAATTCTTCCATATCTCTTGGGCTTCAATTAAAACATACTTTAAACTCTATTTTCTTGCATGTTAATGGCTGGAAAAATCAGCACTTCTGAAATGTTTTTGAACAACTTTTGTAACAAGGTTCACCGCAATTCTCCATGCCATGGACGGATTTCTTAACTGGATTTGTTGCTCTCTTTATTAATTGGATCATGCCTCTTATATATTGAGTCAGTATTTGATATTGGGAACAAAATAGGGCTGGTTAATTCTTTTAAAGATTTAATTTATGATTAAATTAATTGGATATTTTAAATGATCCAAATTAATATAATCACTAAATTTCTTCTCAAGGGACCCATATCATTAATTTCCTGTTGATAAGGTCCAATAGCTATCATAAGCGGCTTAGTAGACCTTGACATCTGTCCAATGGCATTCAAAGGAGGTCCCAACAACATGTAACATTGTCCCAATAGCATTCAAATGAGCTCAATAGTATCATGGATTATCATTAATTGAAAAGTCTAAAATATTAAATAATGTGAACTACTCTGTAGTTCCACAAGTGTATTGGCATCTTGAGTGTAATATAATCAAAATATGGGCCAGTTTTAGGAACTACTCTGTACATTACTATGTTAATGTGAACAATGAAGGCCCACAATTGGTGAAGTCACATAGTGAAGATGAGCCCATTTTGTTGTTCTCAGATCTCAACGAGCAAGAGGAGGGGTTTTGGAATTATTTCAGAGTTCAGAAGGTGCGTAGCGTACTGTACATCCACCCTCGACGCACGTTCTAAAAATCACCACCCTCATTTCTTTTTCCCCGGCATAAGACTGGGTCCTCTGCAGCCGGCCGGCCGGTCTACGCATCCGCACATCGGTTCCGGTCACAATCGAATCAGGTGACTTTCAGATTGTTTTATTCTCAATTACACGCGAAGAGATTGAATTGAGCGCGGCTGGGGATTGAGTTGGATGATAATCAGAGATGCCTCCGAAGCAGCAAGCTAAAGCCGATGTAGCGAAGAAGCAGAAGGTTGTTGAAGACAAGACCTTTGGTCTTAAGAATAAAAACAAGTCCAAAACCGTCCAGAAATACGTCCAGGCCCTCAAGCAGAACGTGCAGCCTAAGACTGACCCCAAAAAGGTCGATGCCAAGGTGTGTGAGGAAATCAACATTTTCGATTTCAGATGTGTTATTATATGCATTTCTTGGCCTTGTTTAATGATTAAGCTGCGGCTAGGTTGTATATTTATTTATGCAATTTTGATCGTTTGTGCAGAAAAAGAAAGAAGACGAAAAGGCTAGAGAGAAGGAGCTCAATGACTTGTTTAAGGTTGCTGTTAGTCAGCCTAAAGTTCCACCTGGTAAATGACCTCTTTGTTTTACAAACAGTGTTATTGTTTTGAGCCAGTCTAGTTACATTGTTTGTGCCTCTCGAATGTTCATCCAAATAAATCAGTGGTTGAGTAACATAGTATCACAAAATTTCATTTTTTTATAGAAAGCTGATAAACAGGACTAAATTGTGATCCATTTCTTCAAATAGGAGCATTGTTCTGTAATATAATACTTGCACTCCTAATAGAAGAAGTCTAAGCTGCTTTTATTCATTATTCCAGGATTGAATATGTCCTATTTTAGCACAATACAACGGTACTCCTATGTGGGCACATTACCCATCTTTTACTCCTATTTGCAGTAATTTTGTTTCCTTCAGAGTTTAGCTGTTATTGAATATTTTACGTGATAATAAATGTTAAAAATGCCACTGGTTTATCTTTTGAATGATTTATTGTATGTTTGAACTTATGCCGAAATGCGATTGATTTGGTATGTTTATTTATGTTGAACAAGTCTCACCATTGCCTCTGCATTTCTCTCTCTCGCTCTGCTTTCTGAATTCCAAATGTGTGGAGGACTATCCTCTTATTTAATAAATAAGAGTAATTACTATCAAGCTTGGAAAATATTTTCTTGCTTGAAGTCTGGCAATGCCAAAACATGACAGTAATTACTTCTTATTAGGGAATAAAAACATGACAGCTCTATTTTAGAATTCACAGACATTTTTAATCCTATTTGGAGCAATTTCTTTTTAAGTTTTGTAATAGAAGTTTTTCTTTACCATCATTTGTTGAATGTTATATTACTTCTATGCATTGTATATATATTGTATGCTCCATAGAAAGCTCAGAACCCTTTAATAAATTAATCGCCTAGGTCTTTTACTCATTTGCCAATCTTATGGTGTTAATTGAGTAGCTAATTCTAATATTATGGTCAGGAGTGGATCCAAAATCAATATTGTGTGAGTTCTTCAAAGCCGGACAATGCACCAAGGGTTTCAAGTGCAAGTTCTCACATGATTTGAATATTCAGAGAAAAGGAGAGAAGATCGACATCTACAGTGATAAACGTGATAATGGTGATTCACCTATTATTGTAACTTATAAGTCTAGTATTATTTACTCCGTAGTTATTTATGTTGGATGTAACTTTGTTAATCTTTGAATGTCATTTAAATTTGTCGTTCTTTATTTGCTGCCTCATTTTACAATAAAAAAGAAACAATGGAGGATTGGGACCAAGAAACTTTGGAGAAGGTCGTGGCATCAAAAAGTGAGGAATATAACAAGAACAAACCAACTGATATTGTAAGCATTTAGCAATTCCACTTTTACGCTGTTTTTTGCTCTTGTATAGTGCTCCTATCTTTATGATAAGTCTGGGAAAAGGGATTATTCTCTACATATATGGTATGGTGAAAGCTCTTCCCATGCGTTGTTTGTAATTGTTTACTCCAAGCCAAAAATTGTAAACCATTAAGAAGATAAAAATGTACCCAACATGGTCTCTCACTCTCTCAATATGGATTTGTACGTTTAACTTTTTGATTCCGACATAGACCTCACCTAGTTGCTACTAGATGAAAGCTCTTACAACTATGACTTGAATGGAATGAGTGGATTTCCCAGGACAATGTAATGAAATCACCACTCATAGTACTTCTGTGTAGGTTTGTAAATATTTTTTGGATGCTGTGGAGAAAAAACAATATGGATGGTTTTGGGCTTGTCCAAATGGTGTTAACTGCCACTATAGACACGCTCTTCCTCCTGGGTACGTTCTGAAGTCGCAGATGAAGGCTCTATTAGAAGAAGAAAAAGAAAAAGTGTCCATTGAGGAAGAGATTGAAGATAAGGTGATTGATTATGTTTTTCTGCCATTGTACTTAATTTTCATTTATTACTGTTTGACATGCTCCAATATAAAATTCGTTGCCTTTTAACACGGTATCCTGTTCCTTTGCATCAGGCCTGGCCATATTTTATATTCCTTATCACACAAAAAAGAGTCCTGTTTGAGTTACGTAAACCTTTTTTTTAATCAGTTCAATCAAGGTATAAGTTTTTTCAAAATTTAAATGGTCTCTTACACTACTCCCCTATTCCTAAAGTAATAGATTAAAGGTTAAATACTTTTATAGGAATTTTTACTTGACATTGAAAGTTGGATTATAATCCCAGAGCTTTGGAAAAATGACTCTTTTTACAGATGGAGGGATTATAATATAACAGTCCTGATCTATATCTTATGTGTGCAGCGTGCTAAATTGACTGCATCAACTCCTATGACCCCTGAGCTATTTATGGAGTGGAAGAGGAAGAAGTGGGAAGAAAGAGATGCTAAGATGGCCTTGCAAATAGCAGAGAGAGCCAAGAACGATCGCATGAGGTATAATTAACACACACACACCCTCCCTACTGACCCTATTAGGTCATGTTTTTCAGTTGTTAGATGACTTAGATCAAGTGTTTTATAACTTCACAATGTATGTGTCACAGTGGACGCGAGCTGTTTATGTCAGATGCAAGTTGCTTTGTGGATGATGTTGGAGCATATGATAAATATGATCGGGAAGCAGAGTCTGCTGCGACTACTGAACAGAAGGTGATTTATAGATTTATTTTGTTTTGCTCCCCCGACACCCCATCCACAACAATGTATTAACGTGTAAAATAAGTCATGTCACCCGAATGCCAATGACATCCACATTGTGAACTGAACCAACTTTACTGCTACCCAAAGGTGCACCAAGTGGACTCCAAGGAGATTTCCCATAGTTGGCAATTTAAGAACCTATTTGGTGGATTGTATGTGGTGTAATTGACTTATTGACTGGATTTACTGACATTGGGGCTGAGTGGGTTAACTTATCTAATTATTGGTAAAAATATACTTTATTAATAAATTAAAGAAAATGATGTCTAAAAATGAAAGTATAAGTATCATTTAATTTATTCTACTTTCATCTACCTCATGCAAAAAACTAGCTTTTGCCCTACATTTTATATTAGGATTCATCTAGAAAAATTGGGCAAGTTAACAAGTTACTTATGTATGGGTGACATCGATGATATCAACAATAAACAGAAATAGGATGCCCCACCAAATGGGCAGTAAATGAAAATAAATAAACTAGGAAACATATAATATGAATTGGTGTGGTAGAATTTTAATAGGTATAGGTGCGATAATTTAATTCTTATATGTTTGTGTTGTTTTGGGCGGGGCACTTATCAGGTTGACAATAATGATCCAAAGGATGAGGCAGGCTGCTCAACCTCAGCCCCATGCACAGGAAATGCCCAAGATGTTTTTGATGAGGACGATGATGATTTAGATTATGATGAGTTGAATGAGCTGGAGGCCAGCCTTGCAAAAACAACACTACAAATCAACGAGCCTGGTGGCAGCGCATGAGACATGAAATAAAATTGATAAAATCTCTTTTTTTGTTAGATTAATATCAGGGTTCTGATCTCGAGAAATATATATTTTGGTACTTGGTATTCTCCTTTATATTCACACTTGCGTTCCAAAATGACATAAATGGATTTGAGCATCTATGGGAAATTTGTACTATAGCCTCCTGGGTGCAATCCCAATGGAGTCCATCTAGGGATGGACTCGGGCCGGGTCCGGGTCGGGCCTAGGCCCGGGCGGGCCGGCGGTTCAGAAATGGTGGACCCGGGACCGGCCCGGGTAACCACCGGGTCCGGACCGGGCCGGGCCGGGCCCATTATCATTTTTTTCCTCTTCCTAATTAACCCCCCTCCCAACCCCAACCCCCAAACCACCCCAAATGGCCCAAAATACCCAGCCCAACCCGAAAATTTAAAAAAATTGAAAAAAAAGGTTTTGGCCCGAACCGGGCCCGGGCCTGGCCGGGTCGGGCCTTGTTTTGGGTGACCCGAGTCCGAACCGGAAAACCCACGGGCCGGGCCTACCTGGACTGGTCACTGACCGGGCCACCGGGTCGGGCCGGGTCCGAACAGTACCGGTCCCGGGCCGGTTCCGGGTCGGGCCACCCGGCCCGAGTCCATCCCTATGTCCATCTTTGTTTCTAGTCATCACCTTCGTGGCTCCGTCATCTCTCTATCATTTAGAGCCCATTTGGTAACATTGAGATTGATTGAATTTTTGTTGAAATTTCTGAAGTTTTGGCTGAATTGGCTGTATTGATTGATCCTGTTGATTTGTGAATAAATTATATTTAAAATATATTTTATTAATAAAATAAAGAAAACATTATATGAAAAAATAGCTAAAACGGTCATCTACAGTAACTTTAGCCAATACATTCAGAAAAGTAACTTTAATCTTACTTTCTCTTATTATTACACAATTAATCACGCAAAAATAAAAGTTATGTGTTTAGTTAAAAAGTTGCTTGATAATCCTGATAAGCTGAAAAACAGAGTCATCAAATTGGCTTTTAGTGTGCCTGAATAGTTCAGATTTGAGAACCCTTCGGTGTATAAACCAATTAGCGGGAGAAAGTGCAATAAATGGAATAGCATCGGTCAATTTGTAAACAACTAACATTACTAACCCGAAGGAAAGTCAAGTGAGGAAATCAGTGTCAAGTCAATTTCAACGTAGTAAATTTTGATTTCAATTTACATTGTATTTTGTGCTGTTTGGTCACCAAGTTATCATGATTTTAAGTTTTAACGGTAATTATTTGGGTATAGAGATTTTGGGAAGGATTAGGAAACATGATGTAAATTGAAATACAAGTGGATGCTTTGATGTTTTCTTAAACATGACAATAGTATTAGTGACATTTAAATGAACGATTAAGTTATGATTTGTATTTAGTCCATTAAGTCAAAAGTAAAGTGGCCCTAAATTAGTTTGGTTTTGATCCATTTTAACTCATGATTGTGACATTTTAGCATGAAAGTCAGTTAACTTTCTCAACATTTAACTGAATGATTAAGTCATGATTTCTATTCAGTACATTAAGTCTAAAGTAAACAAACACTTAATTTAGTTTGGATCCACTTTTGACTCATGATTGTGACATGTTAATTTTGTTTGGATAAACTTTTGACTCATGATTGTGACATTTTTAGGGTGAGCTAACTTTCTCCCCTTTAATAAATAGATGGCCTGCCAAATTCTTGAGCTAATGATTTAGGAGGACCTAACAAATTCATTCTACAAACTAACTCTTAATAAATGGCTCAATCACATATCTTATAAATTCAAAGTCATCATACCAATGACCTAAAACCCCTCAATAAACATTAAAATGGCAGACTGCTAACAAAGATGCTCGGTCAAAATGCAAAAAAGAAGATTTTTTTTTTCAATTAAGGAAGCATTGAATATTGTAAAAGAACTTTTTTAAAGACATTTACATCTTGCAGGAAAGCAGCAAGGGAAAACGATGTTTTAACTTCTTGGTTCTCTTAATGCAATGGATCAATCTCTTCAGACTATGGAGAACAAGAACACTTAGGATTTCAGGTCACGTAAATAAACACTCAATTATTTACACTTATGAAATTTTCAAATCAGAAAATTTCATATCAAATCGTATTTTATTACTTTATAAATAGACCAAAGAGACTATTAACCAACTATCATTAATCATGAATGCTAAACAACAATAAAAATCACAACCCTAACTAGCTCTGATACAATATTAAGCCCTAGAAATTTTGTCCAAAAAAGTCAACCTAATAGGGGAAGTAACTCATGATCTTAACATAGTATTTTATTGGTTTTGTTGAGTTTATTCCAACACGAAATAGTAAATATAAATATAAATGTGTTCGAACAAGCTATTTTAACGTGGAAACCCGAAAGGGAGAAAACCACAAGATTTTTTGGGCTAATGTCCAAGCCACTCTCATTCTCATTAGGCTCTCCTCACCATTATATAGTACAAGTATTGAGCTCCAATTAATGGAGTATTAAGCTATCGAGAGAGAAGGAGGAGAAAAGAGGGGAGGAAGAAAAAGGATCCTTCAAATGGAGGGAACACCTTCTTTTTATAGGGAAGGGGGAATACCTACCCTAATAGGCCAAAATAGCCCGGACCCGCCGAGATGTGCCTCTGGATCGGGCCCCACGTGGGGATGGTGCGTTGGGCTCTTGTACAGTAACAGATATTATCCCATCGTGGACCGAAATAATATATCCCAACACGTATATAACAATTGAGTATAAGACAAATCATTGACATTTTCCTCTTATTTTTCCCTTCTGTTTCCTATTCTTTTTCGTGGGTTCAATTGTGTTAGAAGGACACTCTTCAATTAGAAGAAACTTCGCTAACCGTGTAAACCTGCTTTGCAATTAATAGCTGATATGTTAGTATCTTGAATCAAATGACATGCAACTATACCTTAAATAAATCAGGCTCCTTAAAGTATTAATCTTATAGCAGAATATTAATCTTACTGTTTATTTCCGTTTTCAGATCCTTATATTGAAGTATAAGAGTATTATTTTCTTACGAGAGAATTCTCTAAATAGGAGTAAAAAAGTTTTGAAATTCAAAAATAGGAGTATCATGTTTTTTATTCCTTGAATATGAGTAAATTTCTGCCAAGTTTGGCATTATTAGGCTTTAAAACATGACATTTTTTTTAAAACTTGGCAGATTACTCCTATTTAGAGAATAAAAATCATAGTACCCCTATTTTGGAATTTCAAAACGTTTTTGCTCCTATTTAGAACAATTTCTATTTTCTTAATGTAACAAATTTGCTTGAACTACCTATTGGGGATTTCATTTTTATTGCTCGAGGCCGGCGAGTGCACGGTCCATCGGCTTCCCTCTTTTATTTTTGGGGATTTCGCTCGAGGCCGGCGAATGCGCGGTCCTTCGGCTGTCCCTCTTTTATTTTTAGGGATTTCCCTCGAGGCCGGCGAGTGCACGGTCCTTCGGTTGTCCCTCTTTTATTTTGAGGGATTTTGCTCGAGGCCGGCGAGTGCACGGTCCTTCGACTGTCCCTCTTTTATTTCCTTCCTTCACTTCTTCGAGCGAAGAGTATCCTTCTTTCAGGCTTCGGCCAAGGGGGTTCCTATTCCCTGGACCGGTAGGGGGTCCTACTGGATCGTCCCATGATCTCGGGGAGGTCCCGTCGTCTATTTATGACGCGGGCTAAGGCTTTTGGTCGGTTACCGACGACTGACGTTCCTCAACCCTGAGTTTGGGGATTTTTGTCACCTCGGCCATGATTTCAGACCTGTCGTCCTGCGATTTAGCGCGTGAATGACGCGGTGAGCTTCCCATTTCATGACATGAGCTGTTTGCGGGCCCCTCGTCTTGGGGACATCGTCGGCCTTACCTGAGCGTCGCGCTCTAAGGGGTCGATACGATGTGCTCTGTCGGCCATACCTGAGCGTCTCGCTCTAAGGGGTCGACACCACATGTAGTATTTCCTACTTTGAAATCTCAAAAATAAGAGGAACACAATTCTCATTGATAAGTGGCTCGAGGCCGAGGATGGCAATCGATCAATAATCCGTTAAGGGGTGAGGGCTTTGCCGGCTGCGCCTCCTTTGGATTATTGATAGAACTTCACCAAATGATGTACATTCCACGTTCGTGGCACACTAGACCCATTTGGGTGTTTAAGTTTGTAGGTGTCGGGTTTGACCACGCCGCTGACGATGTAGGGACCTTCCTATTTCAGAGCCAGCTTGCCACCTTCCGTCAACTTGCTCGCCTCCCTTCGACAGAAGATGTAGTCCTCCACTTGGAATTCCCGGGAACGTACATTGGCGTCGTGGTATGATTTTACTTGACGCCGGTAGTTCTCTGCTCGGATGTAGGCTTGCTCGCGTCTTTCTTCGACCAGGTGGAGGTCGATCTTCATGTTCTCTTCATTAGCCTCAGGTTCATACTGCTCCACCCGTAGGCTTGGTATGGCGACCTATGTAGGTGCTTTGGCATCAAAGCCACAACATAGGGCAAATGGTGTTTCACCCGTCGCTCTCCTAGGCGTGGTACGGTAGCACCATAGAATGATGGGGAGCTCGTCGTCCCAACTGCCTCCTGCGTCATGGAGTTTCTTCTTCAGGCCTTCCATTATTGTTCTGTTGGCGTTCTCAACTTGCTCGTTGCCTTGAGGGTAGGCAACGGATGAGAAACGGTGTTTGATCCCTCACTCTCGGAGGAGCTCTTGGAAGGATGCAGCCTCAAATTGGGTGCCATTGTCGGATATGATCTCCTGAGGAACGCCGAAACGGGTGAGGATGTTCTTGTGGACGAACTTCTGGCACCTGGACCCTGTGATGCTGGCCAAGGGTTCCGTTTCAACCCACTTCGTGAAGTAGTCGACTGCGACGATGATGTAGCGGTAGTTGCTGGTGGCTCTCGGCAGGGGGCCGACTAGGTCAATCCCCCATCTTGAGAATGGGATTGCAATGCTGACCGGGGCGTAGTTGACGGCTGGCCGACCAGGGGCCTTCTGAAGTACCTGGCACGCGGTACACCTCCTTGCAAGGTTAGGACAATCCCGTGCCATCGTCGGCCAGAAGTAGCCTTAAACGACGAGACGCCGGGACATGCTGAAAGGGCTCTGATGTGAGGAGCAGATGCCGCAGTGGACTTCCTCCATGGCCACTTTGGCCTCATCCTGGTGTAGGCATCGGAGGAGAGTGCCATTGTAGAATCTCTTATAGAGTTTCCCATCCTCAATGGTGTAACTTGGGGCCCTGAGCTTGGTTAGCTTGGCCCTCTCTTCGTCCTGGGGTAGCTCTCCCGAAATGATGAAGGTCATGATATCGGTGATCCGGTCCTCCGACCGATGCTGAATGCACATGACCGGGCTGGCATGGATGTTGGACATGCTAAGCTCCTCAACCTTGGCAATTTTAGAGATGTGCTCCGGAGTATCAATGCTGAGCTTGGAGAGAATGTCGGCCTTAGCATTCTCCGCCCTTGGGATCTGTGTGATCTCATGGGTTTCAAATGCCTTGAGCAACTCCTCGGCCACATGTTTGCACTGCCTCATCCTCCCTTCTTTGGCCTCGTATGAGCCCTTGATCTGGCCCACCACCAGTTTGGAGTCGCACCTAATTC